CGTTTCAGCACAGATTGATTTGGGATACGCTTCATTTGAACGTGAGGTGAACGACCTGATGCGTGTGGTTATAAAAACTCTTGTTGTTACACGCAAATTAGTCCTAGTATTGCTTCGACGATTATCTTTGTTTGATTCCTACCGGGTCTGGTTTACTGGAAGTCGAATTGCTTTTGGACACTACTTTTACGAAGTTGTCGTTTTTTCATATTTATAGGAGGATATATGGTGCTCAATTTTTGTGGATCCTACTTTCTTGTGTATTGAGGGCTAATGACACCTCTCAGGTCACAGGGGCTTGAGAAGTTAAGACTTGTTTTCACCGTTTCTGCAGAAGTTAACCATCATTTAAATATGAAATTGAGAGGATACCTGCATGCTACGCTTTGTGAATACCGAATGTTTTCACGTAAATTTTCTTGGACAACTGACTATCTGCTGCTCGGTTGGCTTAATGTAAGTGGTCATTCAAACAGTCAGGCATCGGGTAGCACTTTCACTGATCGAGTTACTTCGTGATTGCTTTTTTTTGTGCACACAGATAGCTGCGTTTATTTTCTGGCGCTGTTCTCGAACTTTTTGATCCTTTGATAGTCTTATAAATTCATCAGACGAACACCCCATGTACATCAGACGTAACCTGTTAACCCACACAGCGAGTGTACCGATTCCCTAAGGAAACAAATATAAATATACGCAATCATCCAAACATCCGATGTTGTCCCTATTTTTACCGACTTGTTGGTTAGTAAATCGATCGTTTCTGTGCCACTTTTGCTTCCGCTTGTAACTGGTACCTGCGAGCCAGTAGCCGGAACTGTGTTGCTCTGAATGGTATTCCGCCTTGTCACCCAATTCACGTGCACGCATATGTTTGGTTCAGTAGTGTTCACCTTACTTCAACTACACTAAGGTATGCAGATGTTGTAATGATAGCTAAAACTGATAGTCGGCCCGAACAAACACAAATTTTGATCGTTCATCAAAGTCAGACACATTCATTGTTAATCCGACGATATGGAGGTCCTGCACTTGTGTGCATTGAATAATGCGATCGAACATAGTGACTAACACCGCTCAACCAATTAGATAATCAGAGACGGTCTGGAAATCGTACACTGCCATAGGATCCAAAACCAACATTGCGTTTGTAAGATAAATGACACGTTATCCACCGAGACTAAACAGACAATCAGTCGACGAAAATGAGCATATTGGGTCTCAAATATTTTCGAGTATTCATCACAGATACACTCTTATCTTTTACTGAAATAGATTTTGCTCAGACACTAATCTTTATTTTGAATTCGTTAGTGTGCACGTAGTATATATCATGGTGTCTTATAAAACGTCGAGAATGGTCGGCGCGCGAACTAGAGTGCTCATCACAAAAGTCATGGACACTCATGACATTTACTAGTTAAAGGAAACCTTTTTACACCAATTTCTACCTTCTTCAGGCGTTTTGGTCCGAATAACGACAGTTGGTGTCCTAGAGTTCGGAATGCTTGTTAGACCTTGAGCCTCTTGACATCAACTAGTGTACACCGACTGCAATGACCATCACTCTCATTTGTGAAACTTGTCTTAAATTGACTATGTTTCACAGTCCATCCATTTTGAAATGTTAGCTGTCCACTCTTACTTGAAGATGTTCTTGTTGATTCGTCAACGGTGATATATTTTTTAGTCCTACATTGAGGATCTCATAAAGAGAGCAACCAAAACAGTTACCATGGTCACGGGAAGAGGACTTTGCTTTTAACCAGAGTGCGTTGTGTACGGTCCTTCTAGGTGCAGTTACACGTTATGACTGACTAGAAGCAGGACTATACTTTTGAACGGGTGAGGTATTTGTCTTATGTTTTTTGTTCGTTAGTTGTCTTGATTGTTTCCAGATATTCAATTTTATTTTCCTGTTGGTTCGTCTGCAACTTCAAAGTACAGACTGTTTAGACGAACTGGACGATTTCTTAACATATCTTATCAACAACTGATCTAGTTAATCCAGCATACTCATTCAAATAATTAGCCACACAGGTGTAACACGAAACTGTTAGCGAGTTGTGAAGCAATGTTAATTGTACCGGTTGGCACATAGAAAATGTTAACGTAGTCATCCTCTTGGTCGTAAAATTGATTACGTTAGATCGAAAGAACTTCTTTCTGCCCCGTCTCTTCGTTTGCTGTGATGTTTCACCATAAAATTTCCTCGACGACTGATAAAACTAAGTGAAAGTCTTAACATCTCGCAACATGGTTTCACTCTGTTCCAACTAAACTTTCAGTAATGAAGTAATTTTTTAAATACCCCGTAGTTTCGCTATTTTGAGCACACTTTAGTTGGTTCTTTTGCTTGGCCTTTCGCTCACCCGCCGCATGGTACTCATTAGAATGGCTGTTTAATGTATTTGGAAGACTCCGACTTTTTTTTACAGAATCTGTTTGACTGAGTTTTGATCCAGTGCATCTTTTCTAGCTAGGAATAGATCTGTCGACCCGACTGTGGTGTTTAAGCAAGTTCACCTGATTAAAATTACAGCTATGAAGGGTTTGATGTTGCTCATTATTTGATGGATACTCCACAGTCGCCGCTTTCGTCCTCGTTTGGACTGATCGGATAAAGTTAATCAACCAATTGCATACCACTCCATCAGATGGGAAACTCTTGAGAGAAGCAGTCTTGTAAATGAAGATTTTGGCTTACGTCGCGAAGATTTACCGTTCAGACTGCGCTCACATAATTTATGCTTGGTTTGAGCAAACTTGGCACAATGTAATGACTGCTGGAAAGTGAACGGTATGAAACAGTTCTAGCCATTGCGGTCATATTCAGTGCAGACTGGTAACATGAGATGGACCATGTCCATCCAAATAGTAATGTAGGGTCAGAAGTCACCAATCGGTTCGTGTGTCACTGTCCCAACACGTGTTCCCTGTAGGTGCGAATGGTGTGTTTTTGTATTTAATTACATCACCTTTGGTTTTAGCACTTGCCTGTTGTATTCCATTCTTACGCAACACCCGGCTAGCATTGAATCAATCTGCAATGGCAGGTGGAAACGGTCATTGGCTTCAGCAAATACAAATTCAGGGAAGTCAACCAATAGCTCAACGACGGGACTACCGAACAGTGATCAAACACAACAAACAATAGCCTACAATCCATCAGAGTATGAAAAATGATCAGGAAATCGGTCTTAGATGTCCGCTCGGCGAGGACATCTGCTCGTGAAAGGGCCGCTGTAAGTGGGGGAAACTGTAACAGTACAAATTGGAAGCCACCCACACTTAGTTACAGCTTTCGCTTTCAAATATGCCATCTCGGTAACCAAGCCGTAGACCCGAGTTTCAGTTTTGTTAGAGCTCATCAGTAGCGCACATTCTTGTCCAGACTGGGCTTGTCGTTCCAGCCCTCGTACTCTTGAGGCAAGTGTGTTAACCACTACTACCCTCACTTCACAGTAGGCATGACTGGATGATCATGCTGAAACCCTCGGTCACAGTCTTATGTAAATAGTTTTCAGTTTTCCCGTCTATTTGTTTTTTAGGAGAATGAACAGAACCGTTCTTGTTTACTCTAACCGATAAACTCGTGATCAGGATTCTTCAGACAGGTTGAAACGCGTGATTTCACTGGACCAGATAGGCAACGTTTTACGCGTTTTTCGAAGTTTTGGGATTTGGATTGCTGTAAAGTGATTACCTCCCATGAGTGGTCTCCACTTCCTCATTCAGATAAGCCTTTCAATCAGCTCAATTCGAATAAAGTGACCAAACTCGAACTGCTCCCGTGTTAGGGTTCATTGTTATATATATATATATATATATATATATATATATATATAATATGGGGCGGAGTTGCATTAACGATGTTAATTTAAGTGAAGATGAAACGTTAGTGGGCAAATCAGCCATCATCCTCGTCATTTTTATCAACTTCAGCTCAGGTTGTCGTCGACTTTGACAGTAGCCTATGAAGTAGCCGGTTGTCAGCGTGCAAAACCGCTCGCAACAGGAATGTGTCTGGGTTGTGGTGATCTACATTAGAAGTCGTTTGTGCCACAAATTCAGGATGCTGAATCTGGATACCATAACACAGGTCATTCGTCCCAGTGTATATGTAGGTTATTTTGAGCTACACTTTGCTCACACTTACTCTCACTTAATTCTCAATTCTTAATTACATTCCCAGTTTGGTCGACCTCCGTTCTTCTCTGTCGTTGCGTATCAAGGCGTTTGTTGTGAATTGCTATTATCTGTAAATAACCTACCACAAATTAGTATGAAGCATCCTATGTTTGCATCAGTCTGAATTACAGAACAAGCCCTACAACTGTATCAGTAAATTTGCTGGTTTGTGTAACTACACAACTTGAGTTCTTTCATACTTGCCACGTTCCGCAATGAATGTCGTTTCACTACTATTCACTGCCATTGCTAGTACTACACGTACGTTTCTGGATTGAAAACAGAAAGCATTTTGGAATCCGGTAGTCTGTTCACCGCAGGTCGCATCCTGTATAAGTATAGTCCACGCCACCCATACAAGTGATCAAGCGATGATTCTTTGTACTGTATGTCAGAACAGATTTGCATCATCTGTTACTTGTTGTTTTTCATAATGTATTGATTACCTCATTAGTGGTACGTTTAGTTCCTGGCATTTCAACCTATACACATTGAATACACTTGTATGCTTGACAAAAACGTTTTATGCAGTTGGTTAATATAACCGGTCTTGTATTTTATTTGATAAGCGGATAGTTGATAATTTAGAAAAGGCTTAATTGCGGAAAATCTGGACTCCGGCTGGATTCGAACCAGCGACAGTGATACACTTCCAGTGTTCATCGGTGGCGTTAGTGGTCTTCACCGTGCACTGGTTGAGAAATCCTGCTTTGGCAGTCAATTTCCTGGATCATTTCGTAGATTCCACATAATACATTGGACTGAGTGGGTAACTAGGTCTAAATCTGAGATTTCTAAGTCTCTGGTGTGACTTCGTAGCTGAGATAGTAGAGCACTTGGCGGATTTGGGCTCCCTGTTTCTGTCGCTGGTTTGAATCCAGCCGAAGCTCAGATTTTCTACAATTGGGTCTCTTCTAAATAACCAGTCCTGCCGACTCGATAGGTGAAGTGAACATTTTGAAGATCACTCCGGTTGGCCTGAGCCCCATTGTATGGACGATGCATTTGACGGCAAACGGCGGATCGAGCCACAGTGCCACCAAGTAAAGCTTATGATAATTGTGCTTCAAAGATATATATATATATATATGCCTACGGAATGCTCACCACCCCGCCCAAACCAGTAAAAAAGAGCACATCTAAACGATTTCAAAAGTTTCTTGATGCCTGAATGCAATGCACAGTCTACGTGTACTTCCAAGAAAACTCATCGTCTGCGGTTGCAACCCATATTTCATGGTTCCGTCTTATTGCTGACTCATGCCATTGTCGCCTACTTGCATTGATGTGACCGGTAGATCGAATACAATGTGTTTGGAGTTCTGATTGAACCCACGTATTGTGAAATTTACATGGCAGACTCTTAATATGCTACGCATTTCGTGCATCCGTGCACTATATCCGTTCAGTCTGACAATCTGACCAATGTTTTATGGTCTTTACCGACTACCGCTACATAAAAACCGCTAAGTTTTTCACTACCATTGATGCTTTTTGTGTGAACCCCGGTGCATTCACTCGAAATCGTGTTTAGCGCACATCGGAATAGCAGAAGTAGTACAAAACTGTTGGTATTTTTGGAAAGTTGGTAAACAAAATCTGGAAAATGGCTGTGATAAAACTATACGTCCATTTCGGAAGGTTTTTCTTCGGACGCAGTTTGTTTGTGAGGCTACAAGGCATCTGAAAATGCGAATAAAACATACTCTGCCTTCGTGAAATTTTATCACCACTGACGTCAAAAGATATCTGGTTGTCTGTGGAAGTGAGATTGAAGGCAAACTGTACGTTAACCGTCTTTTTCTACGGCACAGTTATTTATTGTACTTGATCACTATTCTTTTTTAGTTAGCTTGTATTGATTTGTCTGACCATGCCAGGTGGACGATGGTAGTGGCTTGCTAGAACTTGTTTCAAGGAGACAAAGTCGTTCGGTCTGCTATTCCGTACACAAACATTATAATATGAAACCGTCTACGGTTGAAACAAATAGCTATGTGATCAGTGATTGACATGGTCGTCAATAATGATGTTCACCTTGTTGAAAAATATTTTTAATTGCTTGGTTCTATCAGATAGACATATTCGAATCAAGATTGTAGGCTGGTACCCCTGCTCACTAGCTATACAAATGCATGCAAATATATTAGTGCACGATGGCATGACTGTGAACCGTTTTAGAATGGACACTGGGATCTGACAAATTGCATCGCACTCCTTTCGACCGGCTCTCACAAGAGAATAATGTAATATGCTAAGTATGTATTTTCGGTCTCTCTCTCTCTGTGATAGTGGGATAACTTACAGTTCCTTGAGAATTTGTCGTTCTAATGCTTTACTAACAGCGGATAAGTGGCAAGTCTTTCATTAGCTCCAGGGATCTCTTCAGAAGTACCAAAACAGTAGAACATCAGTAACAGCATCGTTGTTGGAGTTCAGTAAAATTGCGCTACTAGGTGAGGTGGCGATACCGGTAAAGTAATATTTAAATCCAGCAAAATCCAGCCTACATCTCTATTCCAGGTTGTAACGTCTTACATGCAAAATGTGCACGTCAGTCTGTAAGAACCGAAATAATCACCCGTTGAATGCTTTTTTAATTCACCACTCTGCAGCGCTTTTTATTACAATATGTTGGATCAGAGATAAGCTTGTCTACAAGTTGAACGCATTCAAACAGTTGCTAATCTGTGTTGCTAGTGGTTGAGTTTACACTACCTGTTTGAACACGCTTTTGAAACGTGCTGTCATTCTTGTCCCCGGTATCGATGATGTTCTCTATCGCACGTCAAGTTTTTAATGTACCTTCTCCTGAACTCATATTTGTCCGTTCATTTCGTTATCAGCTTCTTTTAACAACTTCAGCAGGAAAAGTCAATTCCTTACGGTCTATGTCACCAAGTCTTTTGATAAGCGATTTATTTAATCCAATGTTTCGACGTCTCATCCGAGCCGATGGTCAGCACTCCATGATGAACCTTCATTACATATTGTTTATGTGTGTGTGTGTGCTAGTGTTTACGCACTGAACGGTATAAGTAGGGCGGAAGGTTATCTACACCGTGTATGAAGATGCTTCTTTTTTGATAGAAAACCGGCCACAATGCGTTTGTATCATACGCAGAATGTTAGATTGTTGACGATATTAGAAAAGTGGCTTGGTGTGTATTATGTCTCCTATGGTTGGCACTCGTGATGAGATATCCCTATTACAGATAATAGGCCTAATAGGTTTTATCAGACCTCAAGTTGATGATTGGAAAGTATTTTGCCGATAATTCTTCTTCCATCGCCATAGCAATTAGCTAGTTTTCCCTCATGTGTAACTCCGAAAAGACTTACGATTGAGGATAAAGCTGATGCACGTCCTTCTGATAACAACGTGTATTCTTGCTTCGCACCTCTCTTTGAGTGAGGTTCATCTATTGCTTAGCGAAAGCTCATCTCTTGTCCACTTCCCTTCAGGGGTAAGCTGCATAGAGTGCTGTTGCAATTCACTCCACATCGATGGACCGATTTTGATTGGCGTCCAACCGGCAGTTTGAAACGATGGCTTGGTACTTTGGGTCTATGTGTTATAGTGAGTCAATTCGTTTTTGGAAATTGTCTAACAAATTTTCATTCAATTATGCGATTCAGTCAAATGTGATTACCTGTGTTGTTACCCCAGTTTCACTTTTTTCTTACTCACCCATGCTTGCATAGACCATCGTGTTAACTATCGCTCCATTCAGTCCTCTGTTGTGAGCCCGTAGTTTTTGGTCATTCCACATTGCTCCCTCCGCGCTTGAGTAAATGAAAACACGTGTAATTGCAAGTTCCTGTGTTTTATATGTTCGAATGTATACGAGATCGCGAAAAGACTGAGTAAATAACAACGGATGACTTGCATACACTTCATCGATTGAATGAACACAGTTCATGATCAGTTTTAACTGACAGCCACCATGAAAATCGCATTTTTGATTGATCAATATGTCTCACACTGCTCACTTTCAAACGGAAATTCCACAACGGCGTTTTCATGTTATACTAATCATCTTAAAGGCTTTGTTATAAGCAGTGGTCATTGAATCAGGATTCGATTATTTACACGAAGATTGCTATTCCGAACTTCTATCCGGTTGCTTTCTTGCTACCTGGTTTGTCCAGCTAAAGACGTAATCAGTCACATTGGCATTTAGGGGTTGAAGATTTGAGCATCCAGACACATTGAGATCCTTTAAAACCCGGGCTTCCGCATTTGCTACCAGTGCAGTGATCATCTAGTTGGCCATATGCATCTGCCGTTTATCACAAAATGAACGCATCAACCTCCCAGGTTGGGTGCATGCGAACATTCGCTCCAGCGTGACGCACCTGATGTACACTCGAATGTGTGCACCGTTTAGTAGGTTCATTTTCTATCCCTTTGAATGCACACGCGTTAGAGCAAAAGCGCAACGACTTCTGCCTGTCTAACGACTACGCCATAACGGTTCTAATTTGGTATATTACACGACACGTGACAGTACAGTCACAGTCAGGAATATTACAGCAGTATGTTTATGCACGGCTGTCTTTATCGATCAACCAACTCTCTGTTTATCCAGGGTTTTTGTACACAGCCTTTTTGAAACAATACTGGACGTAGATAGGGAACTCATGCACAGACATTACCAATTCAAATCTAATCCGTGCGGGTTCAGTTGATTTCTGTTGCACTTTGCAATAGAAAGTAAAACGAACTGTTACAGCAAGGGTGTCATTGACTCCGAGTCGTGCGCTGTTTACGAAGGCATGCCTAATCGCACGGGACCGGTTGGTTGAAGCATGCCTCCTCCAGTCGCTTTCTCTATTGGCTTATAGGTGGATTGGTTTCTCCTACACTTGGAGATTTGAGCAGTTGATTGTCTTTAGTCAAGAGTAACAAATTAGAACAGTACACGTGCATTTACAACTGAAGCCAATGTTTTTTTTAATGTGCGCCGACTCGTTAATTGGGTGAACAAACACTTTTTTTTATTCTCCTTGCCATCACGAAAGTACACGCGGCTGGCATGTGAAAACTTGGTAATGTCTATCAATGCAGCTCAATTTCCATTGAATCATTTTCACTGTTTTCGTAAACATCTCTTTCGTGCTGGTATGTTTCTGAAATGAATCTCTGGTCAAACCTCGATCAAGTGTACGTACGCCTTCCTGTACGCGTCCGTAGTAGCCAGATGTACATCCACACTATGGCAAATCTTCAATTTGTTCACATTGCATACGTGCGGTAGCATGCTTCCATAGTAAAACTATCTTTTTTGACGCCTGATCACCATTGTTTACCGATCGATTGTGTCGACGACGAGTCGACACATGAGGTTGACCAGGATATCCGATTAGGCGTCGGTTTGAGGACTAACAGTAATAAACAAGTAGTTGTTTTTATCTATTGTGTCCATACAGTTTGATACGCACTTTATCCAGCACAAATATGTCTTTAGTTTTGGGTAGCACATACACCCCATGCCGAAATGGCAAGAACAGGCCGTTTTTCTCGCCAAGTTTCTTATTGCTCAACCCAAAACGATAACTTTGTGTACACTGATATTCGGAGTACTAATTACCTAGACTATACCGGCATAAGTTTATTATAAATGTTACTTATCGTGTCAGAAACAACTGCGCCAAAACTCTAGGGACACTTCACATAAATTGAACCTTTGTAGCCGCGTGATTCACGAACTTCTAGTGGTGGCGCTAAAGTTGCAGTGCGAGATGAGCCAGAAAGATTATGCTATTTAATACTTATCACGGGAGTGTTAGTCAACACTTAACACCCACACACCTTGAGCAATACTGTGGGACGAAATTTGAGCTGGTTTTCCGTTTTTTCTCCCGTCATGCCACTAGTGGACAATTGG